GGTCAAATTTAGCTCTTTTAATTTAATTTTTCATAAGATTTGACCAAATAGTTTTATATTGAAAGCAGATGAAAATTTAAATTTTTTTTCTTTCTGTACATAGTACTTGTTGAGTAATTTCATTTAAATAAAAAAAATCTAAATGTGATTCATTTATGATATAAAATCAAGAAGTTAAATTTTATGTAAAAGTCAAATTTTAAACAATCAAATATATACAATAGAAAATAGCTATTATCAAAAGATTTCTTAAATTAATTAAACTTTCTAAAACTAATTATTTAATATCATTTTTTTTCTTAAAATTGGGAAAAATCAAGGTGCTCTAGAAATTAAACTTTCACAAATAATAATTAAAACACTTAAATATACTTAATAAATCAATACATAAAGAAAATTCATTAAAGATTGAATAATTTCCAAAATACTCGTGTCAATTAAAATATTAAAAAATCTTAATTTCACTTTTTCTTTTCTTTATGTTTGATTTTATTATTTATTTCTAATAATAATTTTTTCCTTTAAAATATAAATATATCATAATAATCCATAAAGCAGGTTAAGTGATGCTAACAAGCGGTATAAGGAGGGAAGGGTCCACTGTGCCCTCTTCCTTTCTCTCCCATCTCTTCCTTTATTTCTCTAAAAATAAGTTTGACTTTGTGTCAATTTTATAAATACTTTATATTTTAAAGGTATTTTGGTCAATAAAAGTTTTAAATTAAGCAACGGTAATGAATGTAATTTTTGTAAAAATTTTGTCTATTTTGTAAATGCATTTTACTTAATTTATATCTTTTTTTCCATGTGTATGAAATTTTCTTTGTCTTCATTCTTTGGAAGCTATTTTTCTTTTTCGTTTTTTTTTTTAAATTTATGATTACATAATAGAATATAATTCTCTCTTATTCCTCAACTCGCCTTATTCGTATGTTATGTAATTCAAATTTAAAATCTCTTACTTTTAATAAAAGAAAATTACTACTTAACTATTTAGATCATTAGTTTTAAAGTTATTTTTCTAGTATTTATTTTTTTACTTTATATATTAGGCTCCAAAACCGCACTATGTGCAATTTGTTTATATTATTCTTTTCATGAATTATTAAATCAAAAAAGAGTTTTACATTTCAAATTATAAAATACTAACTCATGGATGGGAGGGCCCTTAATATTGAAGACTTTCCTTCCATATAAGGGCATGTTTGGTAGTGCTTTCAGGAGCTTCAGCTTTTTGACATTATTTATGTTTTATAAGTTTAATTTTTTCTCTTAAAAACTTACATTTTAAAAATATTTTTTAACCTTAAAAAGATCTCAAACAGTAAAAGTTCAAAAACTTCAAATTCAAGCTTTTCACAATCTTCCTTTTTACTCATTTTTTCTTATTTTTAAAAACAACTTTTAAATTTTCCCTCCAATAAAAATTTAAACTTATTAATCATAAATAGTACAAAAAAAAAAAGCTTCAACAAACTACACCAAACAGGCCCTAAGGGTCTCTATTTTATAGTTTGGAATAGTTCAGATTATAAAATAACAAACTCTTATTAAACATAATAATATAAATTCATAATTGGATTTTTTAATTTTTTTGGTATTAAATCTCAATATTTGAAAGTCACATTGAATATCGACTAATTTGAAGTTAAACTGGATTGGAACCCATAAGAAAATAAATTCTTCCAATACTTATTTCTCCATTTATAAGACTTAAATTTAAAATTTTTTTTAAAGAAAATCAAGTTTTTTCTACTCAGATTAACAGTTCGTTGGTTGGAATCAATTTTTAATTAATTAATATATAAGTAATTTTAAACATATACTATTTTATTATAAGCAAATATTAGATTTTCATATAAATTAGAACTTTTTTAAAATAAACACAATACAACAGTATATCAAATCATCATTAATTTCTTTTATCTTTGTAATTATAATTATTACTATTATATATCTCTTTTTTATCCAAATTTATCTCCTTTCTTTGAATATCCTTCTTAAAAGGTTTTAAGTCAAAATATAAAATATATAACTTATTAAAATCATTCTCTTGGTATTTTTTTCATTTACCTATACTTCAAATTTCATTAATTTTTAGTTCGACACTATCTCTTAACTTACCTTCACATATTTTATATTATATTTATTTATTTGCCTATAGACACCTACACACTCTCTCTATATTAATAATTTATTTATTATTATTCTTGCTCATCTTATCCTCCCACTATATTATGCTTTTTTAGTTACTTATTGCACCTCACATTATTTTTTCTTGTGACACTATCTCTTAACTTATCTTTTGATATTTTCTCACTACATTCATCACTCTAAACCATATTGACTTTTACTTTCCTTTTTTATATTAATAATTTATTTGTTATTATTCTTTTTCTCCTTATCATCCACTCTCTATGATTATTTTTTAGTCACCATTTGTATCTTTATTTATCATTATATATCTTTTAAAGTAATTTTCCTCTGTCTATTTATTATTAGATATTTTTATATTTTCTCAATATTACAATAACATATAAATATCTTAAAATTAAAAATAATTCAATAATATATGCAATAAATTTATATACATATCCACATTATAAGTTTTTAACCAATCTAAGATAAAAAAAACCAACATTATTTTCCTCCTTTTTCATTTTTTCTAGTTAGTAATTTATTTGTTATTATTTTTCTCCCATTGTTCTTGTATTTCTATTATTTTTTTTAGTCATTCCTTTAATTTTTATCTATCAATATATTTACCTTTTATGGTAGTTTTTCCTCTTGATACTTTTTCACTTACATATACTTCATATTTCATTATATTTTCTTGAGATTTCTTCTCTTAACTTATTTTCTCACATTTCATCATTAGATTTATCTATTTATTTTACATTCACCTTTATTTTCCTTGTATATTAATAATTTGTTTATTATTAATCTTTCTCTCTTTATCCTTATTTTCTTAATATTATTCTTTCTTGATCACCACTTGCATATCTATTTATTATTGTATACCATTTTTATCCCCATTTCTCTCTCTCTCTCTCTCTCTCTCTCTCTCTCTCTCTCTCTCTCCCTCTCTTAGTTATGTGTATATTAGAATTGTTTAACTGGAAAATCTGTAAGGGCTCCTACTTTACAAATTTCATAATTTTTTGATAGTTTAGACTTTTGAAAAAAAAATAATATCAAAACATTTTAAAGTTCCTCATAGAGGTGCTTTTTTTTATTTAAAGATCATTATAAGTGCTCTTCCTTTTTACTTATGCTAAGTTGGTTTATTTAGAATCCATTTTGTACTTTTTAAATTGGTTTTTCAAGTTCATATAATAATTATCAAGTTGATATATATTAGTTATATATTCTACAATTTGCAACCATTTATAATTCTTCATATTTTAATACTAATTATTTAGAAACATGTTTATTCAAAATTATTTGCATATTAATCATTATTCCCTTATTCTTAGAATAATTGAATAAATAAGAATCAATTTATTGAGTGCCACTTTGAATATAGTGTAAGTTCACATGGCATTTATTGTGACTTGAAAGTATTTTACTAGGACTTAAGTCACTACTTGTTTCTTTTCTTATTAGATTAAGTGTGGTATCTGTTTTATCATTTATTACTTGTTATGGAATTGAATTTGAAGGTATTTATTTGACATATTTAATCAAGCTAATAAGAATTCGATAAACACATAATAATAATTAAATTCTTGAGTACCCATCAAAGAAGAATTTGTCTTTTTTAGAGCATATTAGAAATAACAATTCGTTTCTAATATTTCAGGGCATTCATTTATCTTAGGTAATGATAACAATTTCATGGCACAGAATTTTAATATTTCAAGGTTTTATATTTTGATAAGAATTTGAATATAATTAGAGTTAATTGCGTTTCAAACTCTTAAATTTTAAAGAGAGATTTATTGAGTATTTATTTAAGATTTTATGAATATTTTTAAGGGATTTATTAAAGATT